GTTGAGTTTCATCACTAATAAGTGGTTGTACAAAAAGTTAATTATATCGCAATACTTTGAAATGTAATGCAATAACTATGTATAAAGAGCGACTTATATTTTTTATTATAATTTGTACTATTTCTTCGCCACACAGTCATTTAATAATTAATTTTATAAATGTTTGATGTATATTTTACAGACATTGAATTACCCGGACATAATAAAGGTAATTACGAATTTTTTTACAGTCGTAAATAGCCTCAAGAGATTGTTTAAGAGTTGATATTAGCTTAATTTGATTTAATTAATTTTTTATCTCAAATAACAATTTTAATTAAATTCAACTTTTTGTCGAGGAGAGAGGGAGAGAGAGTGAGACTTAGTAACAATTAAAGGTGATATTTTGAACGTTGTTATTATAAATTATGCAGAAAAACGAATATTTTTTTCACCTCAACAAACTAAAGTTGGCTACAATATTGATGTGTAATAAATTCTTTGGGATTTTAAGTATAGAAAGAGCATAATCTTTGAATTTCAACAATAATAAGTAGTTGTACAAAAAGTTAATCGTATCGCAATTCTTTGAAATATAATGGAATAATTATTTATAAAGAGCTACTAAAACATTATTTATTTTTATTACTCATTAACAACAGGGTAATTAATTATTTTCATAGATTTGGAATCATTGAAAACCATTGCAGACGAGAGAAGAAAACATGTTATTCCAGCATTAACAAATATAATGAGACGTCGTATATTAGGTAAATATTATTATAGAGTTGTATAATTGTTTTAACGAAATTAATATATATATATTATATATAGATAAACCAAATAAAAATATAAAAACTAGTGGGTTAATACAAGCAATTAAAAGACATTTTTTTCCAATGTTTTTAGCTAGTTCTGTACAGCGTGAATATGACCCTTCTATACCTGACAAGTGTGGTTTGATAGGATTATTCTTGAGTTCACAATTTCCAGACTCATACATAACAGAAATTGAAGTCGACTCAACTGATGCTCCTTGTACCTTTAAGGATAAAAATGGTCACAAAAAGAGACACAGTGTAGATGATGTCGATGCACTTGAGGAACTGTTACGACTTGAACATTCACAAGTTTCCCCCCCCATCCTAACCTAATGTTAGAAAAACCCTAGCAGCTATATTCTGTTCTTTACATTATATATTATAATTTATATTATTATTATCACTATATATATCATAAAATCTAAAATTTTAAAATATTATGCGTGTACTAAAGCTGACGGGAAAAGAACCGTCGGTGGATTTTTCCAATAACATATTCCACATAATTCCTTTTTTTTAAGTAAATAATATTATATGTCTATTTCTGTGTTATGTCTAACAATAAAAAAATTAATTACCGAAAAAGTAAAGTTGTATTTTCGTATCTAATCTACCTTTATTAAATGCCTGTGCAAATTTGGGCGACAGGTTCGTCGTTAATATTTCTAACAGATAACTTATTTTAATAGTTATTATATAGAGATTTGATAGTAAACCAGTGTAGAATATATTACATGAGGAAAAACAATATCCTGACTGATCAACCACAATGGTATTGGATTGGCTTAATAATGATTTAAATAAGAACAATGCCGGGTACGAAAATGAATCTTATGTAATATTTTAAATCGAAAAGAATGTCGATTTCATTTTTTTTTTGCAACGCATTATTGTGTGCTAAATTCAAATTTGATAAATTGTTTATGTGGATGTGTATTGATTTAAAGAAGGGTTTTTTGTGGGCTATTACTCATGTTTTGTTATTCGCATCGCAACAAAACTAAACAAATAAAAGACACTAAAAACAATGAAAATGTATTGTGTTTTTGCACACAATACATTTAAGGTCTTTTATGTCTAACGCATTGAATAGTACAAAAATTCTGGTTACATAGACTGTTATTGTGCATTTTTGTGTGTATTATTATTATTGCTTATACCTATGTTATTCCATATCGTTACGAACTGAAGGTAAATAATATACTAGCGCATGTCATACAACGAAAGTTCAATGTATAAAATTATATCCAACACATTATCAATTGGAAACTCAAATTTGGGCCTCTGGTTAAAGAATTCTGTACACGTTGAAATAAAAAAAATCCCGTTCTACACGTTACAATTGTTCTGGATACAAAAAACAAAATATATAAATTATTATTAAATATTTTAATGTTTATTAGATGCTACTGTTGTAAAAATCGAAAGAATATTGATCTTAAACACAAATCTGTATGATGTCATAGTAAACGAATAGATTCATAAATTTAAAAAATTCAACAATATTTTATAGTTTTACCTATGTTATATTATTTGATATGATGAGAACAGAACAGGGGTTTAGAATGTTGGAAGAGAGAGTAGGACAATAAAAAAAAAGGATGGGGGCAATCACGTTTAGTAGGTACTCCGTGTATAGTGCAGTACGGCGAGAAATTAAGAGAAATGAGAAGAGATATCGGAAACGACTGACAAATCTTCGACGGGCTAAAAAAGTAAAAATATATTGTGGTATAACACTAAAACCGTGTAACCAAGGCAAAGGGTACTGGTCTGATATTAGGACTGTTAAGACGATGACATATTGAAATGGTCGGGAGGACCATTTGCCTCACTTGTAAACTATTTACTTTTTGGTAGAGCTGAACAAAGTTCTAACTAGGGATGAGAAATCCATGTAGATTAGGGAAAGATACATTTGATCTAGCAATGGAATCAACCCGTTTTAACTGATCTGAGAGTTACCTGGGACATGGAAAGAAAATACACTTTAATAAAACAGGAAATATGAGACAAGCGGAATCTAAAAGGAAAGGAAGATAACTTACAGCTAAAAGCAGAGGTTATTATAAGTGAACTAAGGAGGGTAGAAATTGGGTAGGCTTAGTCCTTAACTTTAAATAACCCCTTTAAGCCCAATAAAGTACCTTTCATCTACGAACTGCGCCTAATTGAATAAAGTAATTTAGTGGTTTGGAATATAATACATCGAAGTTCCAGACACTGTTAAAACAAAAATAATTAAAATACACTATCCCTTATGGACAAAGGATAACTGTTAGAAAATCTGTTGTAATAATTTGACGATAAGTGTAAAAAGTATATGGAAACCTGTTTGTTATCTGTTAATAATCATAGTGCCATCAGTAGGTAATACACAATAAATCATATTTTTGGCCGGAGAGTAGATTTTAAACAGACACATTGAAAAAAAAAAGTTTTCAAAAAAAAAATTCAAATTTTGTCTTTACCGACCACGGACATATTTACGGGTTCGGTAAAAGTGTCTATGCTAATTTTGTTATTTCATTATTTTACCAATTATAGATTTCATCAAACACGTGTTGACTACGGTAACATGATTCTCCATTCTTGTTTTAAAATAAATTTCAAAAATGCTACTGCTTGTACTTATTGTTTAAAGTTAGAAAAAAAAAATCAGATTTTCAATTTTAAATTTATTCTTGATTATAACATTATCGAGTTTTAGAAGTAACATGTCTACAAAATGTGTTTGAATTCTTATAACATGAGGTAATAAATTTTAGTTTTTGTAAATTGAAAAAGCTAGTACAGTGAGGTCAGGGCATTGATTAGGTTGTCAACGTTTGTCGGTAGTATTATGCCCAAAGAATATTTTATACAAATTTGAAACTAATTAAACTATTTAAAAAAAAAATGGAGCGCCGGTTCAGTAGCGTAAAATTATATCGTGTGTACAGGCAATATGATTATAATTTATAAATACAATTTCTTCTCAGCTATCGAATAGAAAGCTAAAAGCAAGTCTAGTATTAGAATTTTCAAATCTTGTGTTCAAAATTGTATAAAATTATAAAACGTATATAGTATTAAAATTCATCTTTTCACATGAAAAACTCAATAAAAACATTAAATTTGCCATTTTAGTGTAAGAATTATCAAGCGGTTAGGTATGTCGAAATACATTTAGTGAACTTGCTAATTAAATAACACAATCTGCTAAATAAATAGTTAACCAAATTAATTAAGTTAGTAAACCAAATTAGGCAAAAGTTATTTTATAACCATACTTTGGTGCAATCATTTTTTTATTATAATCTTCATTGTAGGACAACTGTCGGTTTTACTCAGGTTTTAGCTTAATAAAAATTGTATAGTAAAAGATTATATAAGAGACCTTGAATTTATGTGCAAAACCACATTAAATTTTCATTGTTTTTAGTGTCTTATTTTTTTAGTTTCGTAGCACTGTGTATATTAAGACATTAGTTGAAGCCCACAAAAAACACTTCTTTAAATCAATACACATCCACAAAAACAATTTTACTAACTTGAAATTTACCACACAATAATGCGTTGGAAAAAAAATTTAAATTGACATTCTTTTTGATTTAAAATATTATGTAGGATTACTTTTCGTACCCTGCATTGTTCTTATTTCAATAATATATTTTAAGTAAATTCAATACTATTGTGGTTGACCAGCCAGGATATTTTTTCCAAAACTGCCTATTTATATATAATATATTCTACACTGTTTTATTTAGGCACCAACGTTAGAACTCCATATAGGTTATGTTAGATACCTCTAATATCGAATCTATATATAATAACCATTAGGCTACATTATCCATTAGAAAAATAAACAATGACCCTGTCATCCAAACCAGCACAGTCATTTAATAAAGGTAGATTAGATACAAATATACAACTTTACTTATTCGGTAATTATTTTTTTTATTGGTAGACATGGCGTAAAACAGAAATAGGCATGTACAATATCATGTACATAAAAATGTATAATGTGGAATACGTTATTGAAAAAATTCATCAACCGTTTTTTTCACGTCAGCTTAATTATATGTATATATATTAGATATTATAATGAAAATGTGACAATGATAAGGTGAATAATAAAATTATATTATGGAATGAATATAATATAGATACCAATTTTTTTCTAACATTAGATTAGGGTGTGACCCGTGTGGGTGGAGATCATGGACGTCCACGTTGTAGCTGTGTCTCGAGTGATTCTCCTGCTTGGTTATTTAAGCCTATTTGTGACCATGTGCCATCCATTTTCCTGTACTTCCTTAAAGTATTATTTTTATCCTTCAAGATACATGTACCGCTAGTTGACTCAATCATAACTTCTTTTATGTATAGTTTTGGAGATTGGGTACTAAAGTATACTCCTAGCAAACGACAATTCGATGATAAAGATGCTATATCATCTACAACTCGTACACCTGAAAAATTTAATTTTTTTTTTTATTATGCTAATATTAGATTACTAGTTTACTACTTTTGTTTATGGTGCAGGATACAACTATCTGATTTGTCAATACGAAGTCATAAAAAAATAATACAATAAGCTTGGTGTCGTATAATTGAACAGCCATGATATTTGAATTACATGAAAGTATGTTTCAGTACTTATAATTTATTTAGTTAATTGTTAAAATTAAAATTCAGTTGTATCCAATTGTTCACATTAAATATAAATAAATTATATATATATTAATAGAGTTCAAAGACCATACAACTCCATAATAATATTTACCTAATAAACGATGTCTGATTATACTTCTTACAGCTAAAGCAACAAATTCTCTACTCGTGTTTGCAAGGTTTTCCAATGTTTTCCCATCTATGACAATAGTTATTAAAAGACCGTGTTGCGAAGACATAACTAAGATAAATAATATATTATTCGCTAATTATGATACAACTAACATTTTGTGCAACCACATATTATTGTTGAACTTCAACAAATGTACTCTTTCTATACTTCAAATCCCAAAGAATTTATTACACATTAACACTGTAGTCTCACTGTCTCTCCCTCTCTCCTCACAAAAAGTTTAATTTATTACAATTGTTTTTTGACATAAAAAATAAATTTAAGCAAAGATCAACTATAAAACAAGCTTTAAAGGCTATTTATGAATATCAAACAAATCGTAATTACCAGCAGAAAAACGTCTTTCCATATCAACTCCTGTAGCAAACACATCAAACATCAAATTATTACGCAGTTAATAAGTCCCGGTTTATAAACTTTATACATAACATTCACTCTATAACTTAGGTTAATTAGATCAATATTAGTTAATGCAAAATATAATGTATAAATGTAAATTTATATCTTATAACGATTTTTAAATAAACGGTTTAAATTTTATTTTGAATGATTCTTAAAAGCTTAACCATAAAACACATATAGATTTCCATTTTTTTTTAGTTTTTCATTAAAACTAAAAAAATTTGTAACTATTTTTTTTTTTTAATTAAAAAATACATTCTTTTTTATATTTACCTACTACACTAACTAAGTCATGAAGCAGTTTGTTGAAGAATTTGTTGGCATCTAAAATTTAAAAGAAAATACATTTGAATATACCCACATATATTTTATTATTGAAACCGATATATCATATTGGTATTTGACACTAAGTACATATTCTTATTCTGAAAGTAATTATAAATAATAAATATGCAATATGTATAATAAATATTATATATAAAAAAGGTTTTTACTTTTCTTTGATTGACCTGGAAGTTCTGAAATTAATACAAAAATCGTGTGTGCATAAATGATATCAAACAACTGTTTGGAAACGCTTCCATAAAAGGCAATGCAAATTATTACCTGATATTCTCGAGAGAATTTCGCTATGGTCTGAAATTAACAACACAAAAATTAATGTTATTGCATTTAATTTTGTATTCTATTATAGACAGGAAGATGAATTTCAAGGAAGAAAAACTCGTGTGCTTGTAATTTGGAAGAAGTATGCTTCACTGTATATTCAATACGATGAAAGTCTCATAGGAGAATTCAATAGGTATGAAATATTGGAGATAGTTTTATAAAATTTAACAAAATCTATTACCCGGTACAGCCATCAAAAAATTAATATGGCCTGAAATTAACATTAAATAAACAAATGATATTGAATTGAATTTGCTATAATAAATTATTAGTTATTACATTATATATTTATAAACTCTTAGACGAAAGTCAAACTAGAAAAAACTATATTATATAGACTAGTTGATGTATTTTAGGCTATGAGAATAAAATATATTCATCAGTTGAGGTTGATTGGGCTAACATCAGCATTTTTTCATAAAGCTTCTATTTAAATTTCGGTGAAAAATATAATAATTATAAAACTCAGGTGCATTAAGTGAATATGAGATGAAGTTTTTATATAATTTTCAAACATAGTTTTCTACTCTTATCTTGAAGTTTTTTATTATTATTATAACTATGATTACGGAAATCTTGGTAGGTCGGGTCATTTTTGACATTATCAACCATTGTCTCAATTAGATACTCCAATCCATCTAGAATAAACAAATGAAGATTTTTGCTATACTAAAATATTAAAATCAAATCAAATTAGGTAAGACAAAGTTTCTATATATATTAGCATATTATTTGAAATATAATATCTTACTTAATCTAGATCTACTTCCTACAGTTAAATCATTCTTTTCGTAAGCAAGTTTGATGCCAATAGCTGTGACACATCATTTTAAAAATATGTATAAAAACAGTAAATTAAAAAAAATTACAAAACATTTTTTTTTAAAATTAAAATTGTTACTGACTTGTAAGGTGAAGAAAACCCATATAACTATCTGTAAAAAAAGTGTAATATTAGTTTTTTTCAAATTTTAACTACCTTAAGTTAATTACTGTGAAAATAAAATAACTACCATAAACTGCCAACACTTTCACAAAGAATATAGATATTAATAAACAGAAGATTTTCATTTTTATCTGCGAATAATAATACATTTTTATATTAGTCACAGTTACCTCCGGTTTAGAGATGAGAAGGTTATAGTTTTGCGGGGCCATTTTAATATTATAAATATATACATCTATATGTATAAACATTTTTCTACTTGACCCTCACAATATTTCCTTGACCGCCAACTGATTTTTTTGTATAGAAGATAGAAATCAAACTAGAAAGGTTGATTATTTTGCCAAAATTACAGTAATTTTACTATACCGAGGATTGTCAAAAAAAAAAAATAAGTCCGTTGACTATTTAAATTGCATAGTATAAAACTTAGGTTACACTATACAAAAAAGAAATTAGGTAAAAGTATTCAGCTAAATGTCGTTGTTAAAGTTAGATTTTATATCCGCTTAATTTCCAAGCTTCTAAACTTGACTACGCATAATGGTTCCTATTCAACCCATGAGGATTTAAAGCGAAACATTTAGAGAGTTAATAGTGGAATGAAGATAACGTTTTAGAGAATATCAAATTCGTTTTAAAAAAATATCCTTAGAAGTATAGTTATTACCGTTATATAAAGTATTAATCTTTATTTTCAAATAATAGACTTTGATGTACTGAAATGATGACATTTTATAAATGGTGTTCTTAATAGCTCACAGGAGTAGCGTCTTAAAAATACAATTTTAAAAGATACTTCGTCCAAGTAAAAAAAGGAAAATTCAGCAAGATGATTTAGATTTTATGTGCACAAAATTTGTTTTAGCGTTTTGTTTTAAAATCGTCAAAATTAAAAACTTAAAAAAATTTCTCATATTTTTATGTTAATTTTCAAAGGGAATATTAAAGTTTTTTTTATTGCCTTTTTCTTCCTTTTAGACTAATTTTTTTAAACAATGAACAACAAAACAAAATACACGGATGGTGAAAACCTATTTTTTGTATAATATTTATATTAGATTTATAATGTGGATACAATTATCAAACAAACAATAAATTATAAATGCTTTTTAGAAAATCAAATAAGAAAATATATTTTTCCTAAATTTTAGCATTAAAATGTTTAAAGTATATAATGGTATTTTATATTAAATATAGGCATTTTTTTTCTAGACCGCAGCTACGCTCTTATAAATATAGAAATCGTTATTTGCAAATTTCTGTAATCCAATTTTTATGTTTTTTTGTGGTTTTATATTCAATTTTTTTTTCATTTGAAACATGACTAATATTTTTCTTAAAAATTAAGTAAAATAAAAAACAATTGTTTTTAATTTTGAAATTTTATTTTTAACGACTAAAAAAAATTAAAAATTAAATTGTACACGTATATGAATTAGTACCCTGCAAAGTTTTTTTTTTCATCTTTGTACTGTTCAAACTTTTTAGTTATGATTGAAAATCTAAATAATTTTGATGAATGTTTATTCTTTGACTTTGTACGTATGAAATTTTTTTTTTTAATCTCTTTTAATTTTGGTTGTGTTTGCAAAGAGATCTACTTTAGTGATTTATTATGAAAACAATTTAAAAAACTGTCTATTTTCACTACAATTTTTTCAGTACACTTCAAGACATATAACGAAAATAACGAAAATATATTATAGAATTATCTCCAAAATGTGGATTGTGTAAAACGATAGAAATAAAAAATCCCAATTACGGGTTTTTAACACTTACTTTTGACTCATTCGGTTCATGCCTTTTTAGTTTAAATGTAATTAAAATGTTTAGAGTTTAATAGAGATACTTACTTTAATTTTGGAGTTGGTAAGAGGTTCTTTGACAAGAATCGACTTAGTCAGCTTTTGAAACTAAATGTACTACTTGCGAGGGTTAGATGGGCTTTTACTTCGACCGAAAAAATCATAATGCAAATATTTTTCGCACTGTAGTTATTATTTTTACAGCTGGTTCATTTTTTTTTTTTGTGATTTATTGTGTATCTGCATTACTTGCAAGCGGAGTTTAGACTATAGTTTTATACACTTAAATAAAATAAATATATTATTGGGCGGAATAGTTTTTTTTTTAAATTTAATATCGTTTTACAAGGACAAACGACAGTATTTTCTTCTCTGAAGCCTACATATATTTGTTGTATAGTTTAAAGATCAAAGTAGACATTTTTAACGATATTTTAAGGAAATCCTCCCTCAATATCTTAATACTGTATTTTCAATATTATATAGGTAATTTCCCATCAGAGATAAATTTCTCTACCCTCAATTACCGGCAACATTCTCAAATACAAAAAAAAGATATTTTCTCTGTACCCTACATATATTTACAGTATACCATCAGTTTCATAATATTTTTGTACCTCTACATTAATCGACGCTTAGTTAATTTAATTTTACATAATATGTATGTAGTAATAGTATATAATTTACTAGTATAATGATAATTTTTTTAATATTTAGGATAGGTATATGGTTCATAAACGAGTCATTGTATTTTTGTTAAAATCAAATTAATATTATTCAGAATACTACAGAAAACTAAAATTCAAAACTATTATTCCGAAAAAAAATATGACATATCGACATAACTCACATAATGATTGAATGTCGACAGACCCTAATTCTGTATGACTGTTGAAGGTGGAGTGGTCCACCGACAAAATCGTCGATGGTATTTTCTACAGTGCATTGATCCCATAAATTTGAAAAAAGATTCGATATCTTCCAACTAGAATTTTTCAATACCACATTCAACACCTTGAACATCATTTTCATTTAGAGACATACACATTTTTTTACTAGCCATATTAAAAAAATTTAAAATTATTATTAATAATTTAATAGTGGGGAACGAGCATGGTGGGTATGGGGAGATCACAGGTCTACAGGAATTGTTGTAAATCAAAGTTATAAAAGTGAATGAAATCACTTTCAAAAAAACTAATTTTGTAGAGATACATACAAACAAATTGTAAAAAATTCAACTAGAACATTTACTCGATATTTGACAATACAAGTGATATAGGTTTTTTTTGGAAACCGATATTCGGACTATAATAATCAATAGTAGGTAATATGAAATATTTGTTTTATCGGGTATCGGTTTATGATATCGGTTCATGGTTTTTACAAAACATTTTGGTATTGAGTGGATCACGATAAAATGATCATTTGTATAATATATTAAAGTAAAAAGTGTATACCTTCACCCCAGGACTCTGCTATATTATTTGAAAGGGCACTATAAAAATACAAACATTATTCGGTAATAAATAATACTTGTACATGACTTACCAATTAATGACTTACTCATAGAATTGTTAACTTTTTTTTAAGTGTTCTTGCATAATAACTTCCATAATTGTTTTGCTTGTATTACAGTATAGATTATAAATGTACCGTTTCTGTGTTTGATTGTTAACTAATTGTAAAATTAGCTTATCTAAAAAACATATAAGATACAATATACAATTTATTTTCTATTAAAAAGACGACGTAAAATAAACCGGTCATAATCAAACACATTCAATTGCCTGATTTTTAATAGAACTGTACCTCAAATGCTTTACGAGAAAAAAAATCAAGTTTGTAATTAAAAATTATGAAATAAGCTAATAAAACTGTTTGACATGGTCGTTTAATGGTCACAATGGTTAATATCCTATGCCTGAAACAAATTACATTATTTAAAAAATAAAAACCAACAAAAGTTTTGAGTGGTATATTTTGTTTTTTTAACATTTAAACGAAATTTTAATTTACTTAAATTAGACAAATAATAAAAAACTACAAGTATGACTTGTAGGGGAAGAAGTTAACACGATAAATAATAAAGCTAGACCATTTTGCCGATTAGATTAATTTAAAGTGGCGTTGATCTCGGATCACTCGATTCAACTCTGAGTAAATAATAAGTAATAAACAAATACATATAGATTATGATTCTGTTTATTCCCAAGCAGTATTCTAAGTCAATGAAAAACAGAAAACATGGCAATGTAGTGTAAATTAGTTAGAAATACAATACAGTAGGTACTCACACAACGTAGAACCATAAACCGTTGTCCAGGGCTGCTACTTAAAATGTATAATAAATAAATTACAGGCAAGACAAAACTCAATTGTAACTCAAAAACGAAACACGGCGTAATACGTTAGGTATTTATCACAGAATTCGACTAAGTGGTTATGATTAAAATCTGATTTTTACGAATCGGACCCGTAGTAACAATAATGAAAACAAATTGTTCCTATCGCCCTGAATCTAATTGAACTAGTTATAATTTACAGAATCAAGAGAGTGCAAAAATAAATCACAACTAGGTATTACTATTCGAATTATTTACATACGAATAGTATTATTCGATTATTCGAATAATTCGAATAATAGAAAAATTCGATTCGAGGTCTCAGCTCTAGTGATAACCAATAGCCATTTGTTTTCTTGATCGTCGAATCTTTCACAATGAGTTTGTCTAAAATTATTCACAAACATGAATTATACATTTTTCTTGATAAGAACGTTTGTATTTTATAATGATGAGTAAAACAATGTTGGAACTATAACTGAGTAACGTAATTACAACACACAAATAAAAGCAAGCTTTTAGTGATATTTAATTTACTTAAAGTTTAATTAACTTATAAATAGCAGGTTAATAAATCGATAGATCAAATGTATACAAAACTGATTATATACAAATCATGAAATAATGATGTATGCAGTTTTACTAGGTATTACAGTAATTGCTGCAAAATGGAATATTCTTTGCATACTAAAAATAAATAGTATAAAAAAAACCGACAACAAAAATTAAAACAAAATTTTACTAAACAAGATAGTACACAAGTGTGAACATAGAAATTATTATACAACTTGAAATTATATTAGTAATTTTGTAAATTACCCTATTTAATTACAAGTTATATGTAATGACATGGTTTGTCAGAGCAACGTATGGTTTAGGAATTTTTAAATTTTTAACACCCGTATAAATGATGTATTTGAAAAAAATTAAAAATTTTTACAACAATATTTATTAACCAATATCGTTTAAAAT